CGCCCCGGCCACGCCCCCTTCCCTAAATACTCCACACCTCGCCCGAGTCCCACCACACCCTAACTTCGGTCCGGACACGAAACCCCCACTGGACACTCCCAACCATCAGACCCTCCGAAAGTGTCCATCGAAACTGCTGGGCTCCTAGGCTCCCTACAGGATCAGCAAGCACCCCCCGTGCCTCTCTCATGACCCCTTTCACCCACGATCGTCGCCATCCTGCTCTTTCCCACCTTTTACCTCCTAGTAGCCTCCTGCCTGAAAAGCACCATTTCCTCCGACCCACCGTCCCAGGGTACTTTTAAACTGGAATCACGGGGCCATGCGGTTTCCAAGATGTTTGGAAATTGCCAGGTGTTCTCTGACATACACAGCCTCTGCGGCCAAAGGCCCAGTCGCCCATGCGTTTGGGGGCAGTTACTGTTTCTGCTCCCTCCCTGTGCGTCTAACCCCACTCCTCAGGGCACAGCGTGAAAGTTGGCTGTGTCCTCCTCTTGGTTACCCAATGAAACATTAGCTGTTATTGCACACAGTAGGCGCTCTATAAACAAATAGGCAGATGCCTAGTAACGAATTAATTGCTTCATTCACACAACCAGTAATCATGGGGGTGGCCTTGTGCACAAACGTCCTTCGGGCAGACGCAGAACTGGCTCCTAACCACGTATACCAAGCTTTCCCCTTCCCCTGTCCTGGACTCTGACTGCCTTTGTGAGCCCACCCCAAAAAAGCTGGGTGGGGAGGAAGAACTTGCTCCACAGCTCCTGCACTGCCCATGGCAGCAGCCTCTCTGGACCTTTCCAGGGATTCTCCCGAGCAGCCCGGGCCTGCCTCTTCCTGCACTTGGCCCAGCCAGTGCTTGTTTATTAATTATCCTAATGAGAACAGCAGCAGCGCCAGCGGCAGCCTCCGACCCAGCTGGGGGCGCCCCCAGGCGGCAGCACGAGAGACTCAGGAAAAGTTGGGGGGTGGGTTGGTCTCATTTTACCTGGAGTTCCTGCCAATTTTTAGGGCACCGTGGGTCAGCTCCAGGATCCTTCCCTAAAGAAAAAGACTTCAGAATCCACAGCTTCTGAGTTTGGGCTATCGGGCAGTGGTTAGGGTGAAGCCGGAACAGACCCGCGTTATTGCCCTGCTCTGGGCACGTGTCCCTTCTCCAGACCCCTCCTTCACTTCTTTTCTCCGAGGGAACCTCACGTTTCCAGTGAGGCGGAGCCTGCTCCTCTTGATTCCAGCTGATATTAGACTCCTCCAGGACAGCTAGGCAAGGGACTTCAGAGAGGCTGAGGCAAGTTCGAGTCCTACCTGGACAATTTATTATTACTTTTTTTTTTTTTTTTTTTTGGTACCGGGAATCGAACTCAGGACGTTGCACTTGCCAGGCAGGCGCTGTGTCGCTGAGCTATCTCCCCGGCCCCTACCTGGACAATTTAGCAAGACTCTATTTCAAAATAAAAAATAAAGGTCTGAGGATGTAGTTCAGTGGTGGAGCACCGCTAGAGAAAGGAAAGACTCCTCCTGGAGGCTGTCCAAGTAGAGCTCAAACAGCATTGTGCTTCCTCTTTTACCTTCCTTCCCTCCCCCATTATTTTCTGAGCCGACAGGGAAGTCTAGCCCAAGGGCCATCTTTGCCATCAGGCATGTCCTGGACACAGCTGCATTCTCCACTTAAAATTTCCTTGAGAAATTTCCCACCCCAGTTTCAAGCCTGAGAGAAATCCCGACACCTCAGACCACACGCTTTCCTTGCAGGGCCAGAAGCACTGAGTCCACCTCAATTTTTAATGCTTCTGTGGCACACACCTGTAATCCCAGCACTCAAGAGGCTGATGCAGGAGTATCATTGTGAGTTCGAGGCCAACCTGGGCTACAAAGTGAGTTCAAGACCAGCCTGAACTGAATAGTGAAACCCTGTCTCAAAAGAAAAAAAATTCTTTTTTCGGGAGGGGGGGGAGGTTTGTTTTATTTCCGGTACCAGGAATTGAACTCACGACCTTGTGCTTGCCAGGTAAGCGCTGTGCCGCTGAGATAAATCCTCAGCCCAAGAAAAAAAATTCTGAATGCTTCTACTAAGCGGGTAAGATGGGGATCTGTGGGGTCCTAGTCTCTTGACTTTCCAGCTCCTACAGAGAGCACTTGGCTCCTGAGCTCTTACTCACTCACTTTGCCTGTCTCCCCCACCTTTCTCTCTCTGGGGCACAGTCTGGGAATGTGCTTCTAGGGATATGTGAGCAGGTGTGATTTGTGTGGAAGAAATGTGTAGGTGGGTGAGAGGGTGTGCATTGTGATATATGAGGGAGGTGTACATTTGTGCAAATTCTAAATGTGACTGACACTTTGTGGGTGGATGGAAAGTGTGTGTGTATGTGTGTGTGTGTGAAGGAGGTTGGCTGCTTGTGCAAATGTATGCCTGCAAAAGCTCCCTCCCTTCCATAAATGCATTGCTTAGAAGGAAACTAATCAAATCAATAGGAAATGTACTTGGCCTGACTCAGGAGCAGCTGCCCCAGGAGTTCCTGTCCTCAGAGCAGAACTGGAGCCAGCTCCATCTATCCCAGAAAAGGATCAAAGGACTGCAGGGGTAGACAAGGGCTGAGAGGAAGGGTCAGAGGCAGACCCGTAATATGGACAGGGCTAGGTTGGGCCATGGCATCTCCCTATTCTGATAAAGCAAGTCTCTGGCTTTAGGTTTTGTTTTGCTTTGCAGAGATGCTGAGATTAAACCCAGGCCCTTTGCCTTTTATGACCTAAAACTGTTCTCTGGTGTGACAAAGCTGGGCTG